CCCCCCCCCCTCCCCTCCCTCCCACCCTCCCCGCCCACGCACCAAACTGAACCGATGCGGAAATCGAATGTCCAGCGGCCGCTACACTCTCGCTCCCGTATCACAAGCACGTTTTTCTAAAATGATTCTCGTCGACATTGCGAAATACCTAAAGGCGCGACTCTTTCTCTTTCTTTTACATTCGCGCCTTCGTCGCAGTCGCAATGGCGGAAGAAGGAAGCGGTGCCGATGAAAAAGTATCGAGAGACTAACTACTGCATACGAAGTCAAGGCCCAATCTCGTTTGAATCATTCGCCATTTATCTTCGGACGAGTTTGAGTTTACCTCTCTATATTGGCAAACGACGAAATATTTATATTTAATTCATACGATCAATCGCGTGCTATTAAGAGCAAACTTAAGATCGAAATTTAATATGAACTTGTAATTGTCACTTAGTAAAATAGCAGCTCAATTTTCATTCTATTCTTCATAATAGATAGAGGGGTTTGTTTTTTATTTTGTTGTTTTTCTCGTTGTTTTTATATATACCAGTGAATGTCGTTCGATGCATATTGTTACGATAAAAGATTAAAGATGATGGATTATCGAGACCTTGTTTTTCTTCTCTTTAGGATAAAAATTTTCTATGCGCGACATTTAAAATTAAAAACGAGCGGTCTATATTATTTCATAATACATTCAAGTTGCATCGCAACACCAGAGATGTAATTTAGCAAGACTTGAAATTTATGGTAACGCAACAATTTGCTGAACTCTAAACTGAAATCTTATTAATAAAACTTGGTAATGCAAAGCAAGAGAAAAATTCGAGTCTAACTAAATATATCGATTTAACAGTCCTCGGTGACCCAAATAATTAATTATGCATGAAATATGATACAACGGTCGAAATATGATTTATTTTATTGGTTGAAAACTGGATCGTGCGCGCGAGAACACGACAAAGAATAACATAATCAATTATTTACAAGAATAATTTTAAACGAGTATTTTTGGGACTATAAATTTTAGAAATTTGCGTTTAAAAAAAATTTAAATATATATATGTATACATAAGGCATTGCCTCATCGTATTATTGAAGAGATTAACATTATAGCTCAGCATCATCTTTATCAATGATTTTTCTTTGTAAATTAAGGTGCACTAGTTAATACAGTTTTGAAAAATGAAATACCAAAAGACTAAAAAACATTTTATATTTCAATGTATCTGGCTTATTACCTAAGGCTCCATACGACCACGCGATTTTGCAAACATACATTACTATCTTAAGTTTAACGTTAAGGCATATGAGATCGAAATACATGTAAGCACATCGACGTTTATTCCATCGCCTATCAAATATTAAAGTACGTTAGAAAATTTATAAATTTTTCATTTCTCCCTTACGAATACGCATTTTATTTAATGTTTTACTCAAGATTTAAATAACAAGTAACTTTAAAATCTACGATATAGTACATTTAAATTTAACGAATTAGTGGTACTTAATAGTAATTCACGAAAATAATAAATGTCGAAAGTCTCGGATAGCTCTTTATGATCAACTATTTAAATGCATGATTAAATGTGATAGCAAAATGTTAAAATATTTTAAAATGTTGTAATTTCATTCTTATGCTTTAATTATTTGTGAAGTATTTTAACGGCCTTTATAAAGTTACACGAGGGACATTCAATTCGACGACCAACATGCCAACTTTTACTGTTGCGCAACTGCGCAAACATGAGTCATTGTCAAAACTTTATAAACGCACTTAGATTTGATAGAACGACAAATTATTCATAATTTTTAGATGATAGTTAGTTGCGAGATTAAACGGGTGAGAAAGTTTCACGTTTAATTCGGTAAATCTTCGCGTAAGAAAAGTGAGAAAATTCGTAGTGAATTGTTGGAGCAGTGGGGCGCTGTCGCCTTGTCGACAAATAATACGGCCAAATGAAAAGTCGCTTAGCGTAACGCGAAAATTAAAGATGAAATTAGAAAGAATATCTTTTTCATTTGACCACTTGGCTCGTTAGTTGCTCCTTAGGCACATTTACTCGTCGACGTCGGTGACGCGCGCAACGATGGGACCACGTATACGGAGCTCCCGCGGTCGCATTCTAACACAAAGGTGATTAGAGCATAAGATAGCGCTGCTCGAAATGTATAACCGACGGAGTTCATAATTTCCGTACTCGGAATTTCAAATACGAATAGTATAAATATGATAAGGGGCGAGAGATAAGGAGCGAATATAGCGAGGCGAAAAAGTGAAATGGTCGAGATGACGACACGTGCTTTGCATTTTACAGGAGCACGCGTTCGAGTCGAGTCAAAAGTACAAAGAGGGCAAGTTCATAATCGAGCTCGCCCACATGATCAAGGAGAATGGATGGGAGTAGCGGCAGGTCCGGGAGGGCCGGAGTCGCGCAAGCAGGCCGCGCTCAGGAGGATGAGGACGGCTCCAGGACCTCGGCCGTCTTCTAAAACCCTCTCCGCCGAGCCACCAACGAAAGTCTGTGATTTCATTTGTGATTTATAATCTTAGTAACGCTCCCGTGTGTCTCGGACCAGATTGGGATGGAGGGAGCGAGCAAAGAGTGGAGGGAGACAACGTGGGAGCGCAGAGGACGGGGACTGAGGTCGAGGGGCATCGGGCAACCGGAGGCCGGCCAAGGGGAGGACGTCCTCGGGACGACCCCGACCGGAGGCCGATCGCGTACGCTACGAAGGACGAGGAGCGTAAACGAGGAGCTCGGCCCCGTGTGACCTGAGGCTCGGGGAATCGGGGAGCGTTTGGTCGCGGGGGAGGCTCTCGGACACGCCCCCGCGATCCGTTTAATTCTATCGACGCTCTGGTCACTGTGGCGCGGCAGACTTTTATCTCTCGCTTTTCTTGTCTTCTCGCGGTATCGTTTGCAAGCTCGATTGCGCTGCGACAGGAGCTTGGGACTGCTAGTGCGCGCGGTGATCTTTCGATCGTTAAGCGATGCTTGATTTTCAGCGATTACCGTTGCATGACCAGCCGTGAACGCACGTACCTCGTAAGGTTTATTGTAATGGAGATGCGAGGAGATGCGAGTGCCGTGCAAATTTAAGCTATAGAGTCGCGAACCATCAGCAGTTAACAGCAGTTAACATCGGCAAGTGCTTCTTTTTCTTTTTCTTTTTTCTCTCATTCTTTTATGGACTTTTGCTTTTAAACCCTCGCTTCAGCATTAATGCAAAACAAAATTTGATAAGACGCCCCGATTTCGTATGTAAAAATCGGATTTTTGGTTTTCCATGATAGGTGCTGCCTTTGTAAAAGACGCTTCCAGCATCCTAATTACAGCGTCCCCGACAGTTTTCACAGTTTGTAAATACGCGAACGCTATACCTTAAATTTGCACTTGAGATGTTTTTCCTAGGAAGCACATTAGTATTAGCGAATTTACAACGTATAATCGAATAATAGCCTATGAAAATTCTTATACAAAGAGAAAGAAGAAAAATAATGCTTCGAAATGGTCGTTGAAATGAAAATAAAGGAGGTATGCTTTTCGAAGAGCGCGACTCGATTCCCTGATGATACTATAAATAAGTGTATGTCGTGTAGCAGCACAAGTGCCACCGTTTTCGTTTTTCGTGGGAGACTGAGACTCCGACTATTTGCCGCGTGTCTATCATTGGAATTTCACTGCCGATATTCCTAATATTAATTCGAGAGAGTGCGAGAGTGAGTGAGTGAGAGAGTGAGTAAAAGAGCAAGAGAGAGAGAGAGAGAGAGAGAGAGAAAGAGAGAGAGAGAGAGAAAGACAGCGAGGGAGAGAGAAACTGTAAGGCAATGCAAGGCTGATTAAATGCGCGAACGATGGAATGTTCATAGAGCCACAGCTATAGAAAAGAAAAAAATATATAATAATAATAACAATAACAATAATAATAATAATAATAATAATAAATAGTTTTAATGTAGCTGAAAATGAAAGAAAAATAAAGACATTACAGCGTTTTAAAAAGCCTATATTTCAATTACTATAGGACTCGATTATAAATAAATAAGCATTATTATTGATATAAGAAAGAGATCGACGATCGACGGGAAAAAAGAAATGGGACATTGGATGACGAATAAGCTGAATAAGAGAGACTGTTTAAATGCAATTGTTAATGCGAGGAAAAAGTCTGGAAAATGATGGTTTTGATATCGCTTCAAGAGGTGTGTGTGTGTGTGTGTGTGTGTGTATGCGCGCGCGTGTGTGTGAGGGAGTGAGTGTACCGAGCCGTTCCACATTCATCATGTATGCCAAACTGTTCGTTCGTCTGCCAGTTGCCACTAATTTAATAAAATACGTACGTATACGTGCGCGCGTGCGTGCGTGTACGCGCATGCATACACGTAGAATTGTCTTTGTCGTGATGCGTAATCGCCGCGCAGAAAAAGGAGAAGGAAAAAAAGCAGAATTTATTCAAAGTTTCGCATTGTATTATCTTATAGATACATTCGAGTTCACTCAATTAGCTGTACAAAAAAAAAACAAAAAATAAAAAAAAAAAGAAGGAAAAAAAGAATTCCATCGCATATGATAATTTGCAGCTATCGCCATGATCATCGCGGTACATTAATTCACAAAAAAAAAAAACAAAAAAAACAAAAAAAAACAAAAATTAATTTGAATATTGGGTTTTAACATGCCTGACAGTAACATGAATTTGCGAAATATCGATTACCTTTATTTTGTAATATCTCGTTACTGAGAGCTAGTATTTTACTTATTTTTATACGTATTATTTTATTAAAAGGAAAATAAATAAAAAATAAATAAATAAAAGAAGCAAAAAAGACAATTACAATCATTTTATTAAGTAGACTAATTTAAGAATTTTACCAAAACTTTCGAGAAATTCATTTTATTTATAAGTATCTCAGCCTCGTGTAATGGATAACGTTTGTATATAACGTAATATTGATTTTCTTTTGTTTTTCATCTTATGAAGTATTAAGTGGAATATGTCAAATTCGTTATTTCGACCTCGCATTATCGTCTCATTTTTATAATCTCGAGATAATGCACCGACCGAGAGTTGCCCGACTAAAACTTCACGACGGTAGCTGCAAATTAAAGACACTATCATTGGATAATTAAAACAACTAAATGCAAAACGTCGATCTCATTTGTAAATATTATATAGCGCATTAGGATTCGATAGTAATCGCAGTTAACCGCAGCTGAAAATGTCCTGTCTAACTGGCACACATTGCTAACCACTCAAGATGATGTTTTTTTATTTTTGTTTCTGTTTTTTTTTTTTTTTTTTTTTTTTTATAATAACAATAAAAATAACAATACTTATTGTTATTGTTATTGTTATTGTTATTGTTATTAATATTAATATTAATATTTTATTGTTGTTTTCACTCTGCATTTCGCGGCAGGAGGAAGAAAACGAAGAACGTACTAACGAAGAAACCTACGCTTTCGTTTAAAACGTCGTAGTGTCGGTAGTTATAAGATGCAGCAAAATTTTGTGTTACGTAGTAATAATAACATAGCGTTACGTTGTGAATGCTATTATTAGTCAGTTGATTTTCCTTTTTTACATATGCGCAAAAAGTTTTTAAAATAATTGAAATCACAATTTATAATTTTAATGTTAAAAAAGAGTAAGTAATTGGACGTATTGGGAAAGAGCATTGATTTTTGTATTGTGTAATCGGTAACTCGATTACGCCTGAGGCACGTGTCATATAAGCAAAGTGCTGTATGCAATTTGTAATTTGTGCGTGAATGTGCAATGCGTACGGCGATAAAATGTAGAACGGATGCGTTTTTTCGAGTGAACGTGCCGGCCTAACCCTCTTGTGTCTCAAAGAGTACTTTTTTATATTAATGTGCCGATATCCTTATTCTCGTGTCACTTCTATCTGTCATACCTAACACTCTTCCGCGAAATTCCCAATCCTCTCATTTCGCCATCATCCGTAAACTCTGCTTTACCTCACTTTATCCTCAGAGTCACGTTCTATTTCCATTCAAGACACGATTTTGCTTTGTAAAATATGTTCGTAATAAAAAAAAATTACAAAATATTTACTCGAAATCGACCGACTCTTTATTCTTATTACCTTACATCTACCAAATAGCATTTTTATTTATTGATATTGAATATGCGAGCGCTCATGACAAATACATAATTTACGAAAGACCGTTCAACATAAAATGAAAGTGCCTAAATTGTTGAATAAATCATTCTCCACTTGTTCTTTATTGTTGATTAAAAATATTGTGCAACATGTGCTGGAGGGTGAATAAAGCTCCAAGAAAAAGGCTATTTGTCGCCGCAATTTACGAATAAATTTATTAAGAATAATTGAAATTTTTACATATCGCGAATGCTTAATCAATGATAAAACCTTACATCTATGATTCCTTAAATTAGATAATATTTCGATCATCGAACAATATAATAATCGATAACATTTAGTCTTGATTAACGAGGTAAACATTAAAAAGTAAATTGAACATTTTTCCAACTACGTAGTTATCTTAAAGAAACGAACGAGAAAACAATTATGATAAATTATTTATATAAAATAAATGAAAATGGAGGATAATCGACGAAATTAAATTGCATATACAGTCATTATTGTGCAAAAATATATAATGACTCGGTATAAACTTAGATGACAATATCTATTTTAGCATTTCAATGTGAATAGTGGAAGGTGAAGTATCGAATTTCAAACTTAAAAAAAAAGTCACAGTTACGAAAATCGATTATAAATTTTTATATTTAAATAACCATAGAATTTTGATTTATCGGTATTATTCATACTAGAATATCATGAAATTTACTAACTATAAATTTATGTGCAATTTATATTTGTAATTGAGTGAAATAAGTGAAATAATGCTTGATGTTTAGAAAAAAAATTTTTTTTTTTTTAAATAACATTACAACTGGATGGGGCGATGGAATAATATTATTTAAATTTTACGTACCGTCGTCGCTATAAGTTTCATATTTCGTACCCAAGCAAACTCCAATACCTTTATTACTTTCCAACGAAGCCATCGCCATTAAACATCCAGCGGGGGAAAAAAAAAAAAAAAAAAATCATTATTTTCATTTATTAGAAAATCCCGTTCAATTGCGAATGCAGACTTTATTCTTTTTTTCGTTCTTTTTTTTCGTTCTTTTTTTTCTTTTTGTTTGTATCACAGCGCGCCGAAGGAATGACAATTGGATCGTTGCTTCGCACAATGTCGAACGAAACAAGGACATTGATCACGAATATTATAAATAAAAACTTTCCCCTACTTTCTTACAGCCAGCATTAATTCATAAGTTATCCTAAGTGATCGGCGGAGCCTGCGAGTGGTAAAATGTAGAGCGCGTATTAACCGATCCAAGGGGGCGCTGCTATAAAAGGACCGCATGACAAATTACCGCTCTATGTCCGTCTCACTCCCACTTTGTTTTTATTGATTTCTCATCTTATTTTGTTTTGCGTGCGTGTACTGTTCCACGATTTCCGCATACATGCATTATGTTGTAAATAATTTTATTTCGCCCTGTTGATATTTCGAAGGGAGAAAGTACAAGATGACGATGGAAATGGAGGTGGTTGTGAGTCAACCGGAGGACATAACAGACCTCAAAGCCAAGGGGCCGAGGTAAACAATTTTCCGTGTTTGTAATAGAGGTGTTTGATAAAATCCATGCCTTCGGGAAACTGTTGCTTCGATCAATAAACGTGACATTCCTATGTAAAAGCTTCTTTATTTGGATATTTCATTATTATCATTCGTATTGTTGATTAATTATTTGTTGTCACATGCTTTATCTTACTTTATCACATGTGCTGCATTATGTATTATATTATAAATTTTCTTCTACATCCTCGCAAGTTTAATATTCATTGTGACAATTGTTTTCGTCGCCTTTGTAGTATAAATTATTTATAACATTATTTAAATGCGAAATTTAAATTAAGAGGTGTGTAAATCGAGATTATTTAAATTACCGATATTTGTGATGTAAAGATGTTAAGGCCAAATAACGTGTAATAATTGGTAATTAATTTTATATTATTTTTAAATTATTTTTTGTAGCCATGGTAAGGATATGCTGGATCGTTTTACGGACAATGGTGGATTGTACGATTTGATTGTTAAACAAATGCTCCAGCCGGGACACGAGGGAGAATTATGCGGTTGGTTAAGAGAACTGAGTTTAATTAGATCTAATATGAATTGTCCTACCGAAGGTTGTAATGGTAAAAATCTTACTTGGTCTCCAGCCAGATCTATTGATAAATATAGTTGGTACTGTCTTGAATGTAAAAAGAGACAAACGCTGAGAGATAGCTCTTTCTTTTTGCAAATCAAATGCGATTTGAAGCTATGCATGCAAATTATAGTCGCATGGTGCCAGTCAATACCAAACGAAGTTGTCGTTTCTTATCTAGGTTGATTTTATTTTCAATAAGTTACTGAAAGTTTCTCTTTATATAATTTTTAATGAAAATATTTATTTTTAGAATTAAAGCAGCACGTAGTCAAAAAGGCTTATGAGAAATTAGGGAAAGTTGCGGAGACATACGTTAAAAATCACTCTGAAGAGTGGTTACTGGGAGGAAATGAAAAGATCCTAATCGTCGATGAATTTCCTAGCGGTTATATGACCGAAACCTTGATTAATGCTCCAGTTGCCAGAAAGCGTAACAACAATTGCCATACAATTTTATGTATTGCGGAAGTGGACAAAATTCCTCCAAGAATGTGGATGCACATAATACATGCTAATCCGGAGGTACGAAAGTTTTGCAGGGATGTAAATTAACAATTTCAGTATTGCTAAAATACTGTAATAATACTTTTCATTAATATTTATGAAACTATAGAATTTTAGTTTAAAAAAAATATATTGCCTGTTATGAGCCCGTTTAAGTAACAAAAAGGATTATATTTTACATGTAGCCTCCTCCGTCAAAAAATGCCAAAAATCAAAAATTAGAAAGTAAATGTGGAATGGTGGAAGAAGCATTGAGTGAAATTTGCGCTCATGCGAAACCTGGTAGTTACCTGATAGCAAATAGAAGAGCTCGATGTTGTAATTATGAATCGCTTAAAGAACTTAAGGAATATAAAGTTATAAGTATCGAGGATTTACAAATGTACGACACTCCTGGAAAAAATGAACTTCTCGGTAATCTCGGTAAGGTGGCCCGCGTTATTCACGAAATTGTTCAATGGCTTTTTTAAAGCAAAATCATGAATGCGTTAATGATTTGTCGTAAATGATTTTTAATACTTTAATAGAAACAATTTGGCAAACTGGGATTGGAGTATGTGAAGAAATACAAGAAACTACCCGCACCAATGGGCTTCAACATCTCTTTGTACATTTGTGGAGGCAACGATTTGCCATGACACCAGCAAACGCTTTTGAATATATTATCCAGCATATCGCCGAATGTTTTCAATTCACGTAAAGTTTAGAGCTAAAATATATTAAATCTAAAATATTATATTTTAAATCTAGATATTATTGATAAGAAAGACTATATTGTATAGTTATATATTTTCTGAGAGATTTAATGCGTGTATGATGAAAGAAGTCTTCCAAAACTATTTTTTACGCATTGCACAAGTTTAAATCACATAAGTGCCTGTGGAATTATTGAATACAAATAATTATTACTGTTGAAAAATGTATAGGAATGCAAGAAGTTTTTATTTTGAAGAGCCTATAAGAAATAAGATGTATATGTTGAATTAAAAAAGGCTGTAGCATTTTAAGAACTTCTGTTGAGTATTTTCTAACAATGCTTTACAATTCTTCACATTTATTAAATACTTTGTTTATTGTTATCTATGTTAATATGCAACAAATTATACTTCTAATTTTTATAGATGTTTTATTACTTGAACATAACATTAAATTGAAGTAAATATTAAATAATTATTAAATTAAAAAATTATATATCGTGGATTAAGAGTATATTCTTATAATTTTATTGATAGTATGGAAAAATTTTTACTTGATTCACAAGTGCAATTATCCCTATCAATCACCTATTGCTGAATGTAATTTCAATGAAAATTTTATTCAATGTTTTACAAATAATCATTTGTTTAATGAAAGTAACAGACTCTCGCATGGATTTCTTTTAAGTGTTAACGACTTTGATTAATGATATGTTTGAGCAACGTATAAGCAACGCTGTATCACACAAATATAATAATAATTTTATTCGAAGCGTATGTGATTTTTAAAAATTAATATATATCGTTTTTCTAAATATCACTAATGATAAACCGTTATTAAAAATTCATAAAAATATATGGTAGGTCGATTAAAATGTTATTATATACCAATCTGAGATTACAAAAATATGATATTTAGTAAATTTGTGCCTTTAATAAGTGGTAGATCAGCAATAATGATTATATACAATTATATTACTGTAAAAATTTAACATTTTTATTATTATTATAAATGTACTCTTATACATATATTTTATATATGCTTATTAATATAAATAATAAATCTTTTTAATGAAAACAACTTATATTTCATTTTTTATTTTACAATAATTTGCTTAGTCGATACATATATACAAAATTAAACCGATAGGATCAATTAAGATTTATCTGACATGTAATTCTTATATATTCTCTGATCTTCGATCATTTTTTTGAATACTCGATACTTTTTACAATGATATCTGAAACAATACAGTTTTAATAGAATTTAATATATTTTGATTGAACAAGACAATTTAGTTACTCACGAGTATGCTTCGGTTGTAGGATTAATAACATAGGCTGAACCACCCATAGCTTTCATAGCTTCGTACATCGATGGAAAAGCTTTAGCTGCGCAAGAACCGAGAATAGCCGAACCAATTAATACAGATTCTCGTTCAATAGGACAAAGAATAGGTAAGCCCAAAACGTCTGCTTGTGTTTGAGTAAATAACAGGTTTTGGCTAAGACCGCCACACACTAGCAATGATTCTATCTTGTGTCCAGCACTTGTCAAGGCTTCTAGAATATGTTTTGTACCATACTGTAATTAAAATATTTATTATTTGATTAAATTTTATTATGTGCTGTAAAGTTAAAAGTAATGAATCGCTATAATGTTTATTTGCATTAAGAGATTGAGAATCCAAGGTAAATACATACTGTTAGCGATTGCATTGTTGCTAAATATAATGTTGCTAAGCTTTCTTCATCGCTTGATAAAGTCAGACCACTTATCTACCAGGGAATATCGTTTCTTTTAGAGCCTTAAAGTTTTAATTATAAATTGAAGAATATTAAAATTACCATTCCACGTAATGTTGGGTCAGCTAGAGGAGAACGATTTCCATGAAAGTCGGGCCAAACGTGAATTTCTTCAGTCAAATATGCCATATTTATAAGATTCCTTTTACTAGCCATTGATTTCAAAAGATCGGAAAGATATTGTTGTATATGCCTATATTTATAGCGATTATTACACGATAATTACACAATATAATAATGGAGAATTATCGGATAATGTGAAAATTTAGAAAATACTAACATATGTGGCTGCAATTTACTTTTTATTTCCAAAGTAGCTGGATGACTATCAATGATGTGATCGAGCAATTTGCCTGTACTGCTTTGTCCCCCCTCGTTAAGCCATAAACCAGGTATCATTGCTCCATAATACGGTCCCCAAATACCATTTACAAATATTTCATCTTTACTCACGATCATATGACACGTTGATGTCCCACAAATTAAACCTTGAATATAACGATGTACATTAACATTTTATTATCAAGACAGCATCGGATGCATTATTTCGAATTTACCTAATCTGCTGGTAAAATCAGATGAAATATTTTCTGCCGAACAACCAAGCATACCAAAGCCACCTGCGTGCGCATCAATCATCGATGTGCCAACTGGTGTACCAACTACAAGATTTAATTCCTTGGCCGCTTTTGAAGACAATCCAGAGCCAACAGGATATCCTGGTGGTCTAACATCACACCCTTTCCAATATTATTAACAGAACTTCAGTATATTTTTAATTAAATTTTACTTCATTATTAAAAGTATAACGTTTATCTACCTATTTTTCTCCAATTATTAGCTTTCAAATCAGATAATCCAATTTCATCAAAAAAATCACTACTCCAGCGACTGTTTCCATTAGGTTTAACATTAAAATTCCATTTACATACCAATGAACAGAGAGATCTAAATTATGAGGTTTCACAGTTAGTAATTGATGAATTTTACCTGATTAAATTAATTTTATTTGCTTATTGTACCTAGATTCTGAATTGGTAGCCTTCCAAGTTAAAAAATCTGGTAAATCAAAAAACAAATCAGTTTTATTCCAAGAATCCTTTAAATTTTCTTTCAGCCATAATAATTTTGGTATTTCCATTTCTAACGATATTTTTCCTCCAACATATTTCAGTAATTTATGATCTAACTTATTTATATAACGAGCTTGTTCTTCAGCTCTATGATCCATCCATAAAATGATGTTTTGATTATTGTTACCTAAAAAAAAATAAAAGCTTCTTATTATATTAAGTACAGATCTTTAATTAAAATAATATAGTTGAATTTCTACATGATTAAATAATTTAAATATTAATTTTTAATTAAATATACATAAAATTAATAATTTCATACCTGTTAGGCTAACGGTAACTGGTAATCCATCTCTATCTAGTGCAACTAAAGAACAAGTTGCATCAAATCCAATTCCCTTTACACTCTCTTTGGAAATATTGGCAACTACTTTCTATAATTAAATGTTGCGCATAAAATAACTTTATATTTTTAATTAATAAAAAAAATAAAGCTACCTTGACTACATCACACACTGCTGCCCAGATATCATCCGATGATTGTTCGTAAAATTTATTCTTTGAATGAAAGAGCTTAATCGGACATACTGCTATTTCTATAATTTTTCCTTCTGCTGTAACAAGAGCTGCTCGAACACTTCCTGTACCAACGTCGACACCAATAAAATACTTCATTTCATTTGGTTCTTTAAAAAATATTGCTATATTGCTGTAAATTGGTTTGTACAGTTCCCTGGTTACAAATTAACTGAGATCCATTCTTATTGCGCTGGAAATAAAAATTGATTATCAATCATGTCATTATGAAATAAGTACGTAAGTAATATATTTTAAAAGCATGACCCAGAGATAAGATTAAAATTTCTTATATACTAGCTTGATTGCGTTTTAAATTTAGTCAACCAAATAAGAGAGTTAAATTTATGACATAATTTAAACAATTAATAGACAGATTTTTACATTTTTTCAATTGAACTACACAATTAATGACATTGTGTAATTAAATTTTCTAAATATTTAGAAGTCTCAGCATTGTAATACTAAAATGTATAATAGTTGAATTTAAGAAATAAATATTTCTTAAGCACGATGTGATAAGACTCGAATGTAGAAAAACTTGCAATTCGAAATTTAGAGTTTTATATTTTATTTAGACCAATAACAATGTTGTTTGATAAGAAAGTCGATAAAAAAAGGTCATTTTAATAAGCGTGGATAAATGATCGATATCGTTACTTTTCTTGCCGGCACAAGAAAGTAAAAAATTATAATAATCTAAAGTATTACTGTGTTCTTTAACGGCGAATGTACAAAAACAGACATTTGTTGGAATGTTCGGCCACGTGGTATGTTAATTATTGTTTACATTGAAAAAATTCAAGTCATTAATTTTATTTTTCGGTGTTTCCAGTATTTCATGTCAACCATTGTGTTTACTATTGACTTTGTAGGTTAAAAAAAAAAACAAAAACAAAAACAAAAACCATTAAATGGATTCTTCATTCGAAAAGACAAGCAAATGACTTTTAATATTAACGTGATATACAACATTGTTAGTTTGGTTGTACGGATAATATGAAAGGTGTTTCATAACCTAAAAATGGTGCGATATAAAAATAGGTATGTATAAATTTGTTTTCAAAATATTTTTTATTTATTTATTTAACTTATCACTATATAAATAATTCCACTATAAATCGTTATTATTATCTGTTGTAGAATTTAAAATCTGTATTCATGATATTGTGTTTGAACATAATATATTTTATTTTCTTGTAGATACATAACAATACAGGTATCTTATAAAGATAATTCCGACAGAATTTTAAATTTAAAGACCACAGCTTTGCACGATGCTATTCAAAAGAAAGTATCGGAAATGTATGGAGATTTTGGATTAGCTGCAATTAAAGCAGGATTTAGCGGTAAATAAAATCTTGCTCCGTAATAATAGAAAAGAAATCTATATATAAGTGGCGAGACTAATCTATACAGAAGATGTGATGAAAAATACCGATATATGCTTAGCTTTATATAAAATATGAACTATTAATAATATAATAAAATTGCTGTTGCAGCTAAATATTGTAATAGCCATACCAAAATAGCATTAATCAAAATTCGACATGGACCACATAAGTTTATAGTCGACGTTATTCCTCATATAATCGATGTTGGAGGCAAATTTGTTTCTGTGAAAATCATATATATTGGAGCTACCATGAAACATTGTTTTTTATTTATTAAGGTATGTGCAATTGTATTTCAAATACATTGGACAAACAAGTAAACAAGTACATTATTATAATTAATAAAGACAAATCATATTTTGTATTTTATAGAGATATCAGCAGAAAAAATTAGAGTCAATGTGGCAGAGTATGCCAACTGACCAAGAGAGAAAAAACCTTGAAAAAGCCTTAATGACAATGAATCGTGATATGAAGGATTTCATTTGATGTATCTAATATAAGTCTATTATAACAATAACAACAACAACAACAACAACAACAATAATAATAACAATAACAATAACAATAATAATAATAATAATAATAATAATAATAATTGATTGCTTTAGAAAATAAACGTAATTTTTTGTTTTAGTTTCCTTTAGTCAATTGTGAAAGCATTTAATTAAAATGATTGATTGGAAAGATTTTCCATATCCATTACCAATTGTAATATCATAAATAAAGAACGACTTATTGCTTTATAAGTTATCGAGCTTCGTATAAATGAGCTTTTAAGCTGGATAATTATTTTAACGCGAAATGTATAAGAGCTACGAATTTAATGGTCCTAAGCACATTTACAATTGATACTTTTATGTATTATTTCATCTATCGACGTGCATTCGAGTGCCTTCTTATCGACCGAGTCCAAGATTCCGAAAATTACAATAATACCGCGACATTACATTTAATAATTATCCTTTCCATTCGCAATTACTTCAATTTCATACGGCCTGCTCAGCGCGAGCACACCACGAACGATCATCAATCCAAATGAGGAGATAACAAAAACGATATATCGTTAAACGGTAAACACTACACAACCCAACAATCAATGCACCGCCATTGTCGTACATATTTGAAGGGTCGCAAAAGGTGAAATTCAAAAATTTCGATTAAAGCACGTTCTATTCTCGTTGAGTAGGTGGAAGCTTGGGAGGGGGAGGGGCGAGAAGGAGGTCCATTTAATCGAATGCTGATGCAAAGAACATTGTGTACCCTAAAATTTTGGGCTCATAATGGTCGATAGCTCGTGAATGCTGTCGTCGTCGTCGTCGTCTTGTCGTTATTCCCCATCATCACATCCTACGCCAGCTCACATCGACTCCGAGCCAGAGTCGCGAATTAACACGAAGCCAAAATGTTGCCCATTGGCT